ACAAAGCACCTGAACATGAAACATCCTGTAATGAGAAGATACTGCCACCAACGAAACGAATTACTGCATTAAACCACATATTGTAAGAACCATGAGAGATGGCTGCAGAGAAAGCAACCTTAGCCCTACACGTTTTCACCTCGTGATTTAGTCCAACTTTCCTGCCTGGTCTCTGTTCAGACCTGAAAAAAACTCTTCCTACCTTTCACTTGGAAGCCAGACTTTCACAGCTCAGAAAAGCAGTGCCACGTTTCCTGGGATGATGGGTGCATACTGCAGTCCAGGTTGTAGGCATCTGAAACAAGCTCCTCCTAAAGCTCACTGAAGTGAGAGCACAAAGGTTATGCTGCAGCTGAAGTTTTACTGACAGCCCCTGCAGGCTGTCTAAAGCTGATTTTGATTTGCTGGTCATGCGCTCCACGGACATGCAGAAGCCTGAAGGCTTAAAATCTACTATCAGTCTATTTTATTACTGCTCAGAAAGTAATATCTCAGTATTTCACCAATGGCTCGGCAAAGCCTTGATTCCCCTGTGCATGTCCACAGCAATGCTGCTCTCCATTAAGAACTGCTCAGATAGGGACAAAGTAAGGGAAAAAGGATACACAGGTTTCCTAACTTGATTTGTTGACAGTTCTCTGGCATCAAATGCTGGTATTAAAGTTCTGCAGGTTTATTGCCTCATAGGCATTCGAGGCCCTCACTCCCTTGTTATTCTGCATCCCAGACAGAAATTGAGGCTTAGCTCCATCGGCTGGTCTGGTGACCATAAACTTCCACCTTCTGCTTTCCCCCTCAAGGCCCAGACTTTCTACCCTCCTGATTCACATTACGGGAACTGAGTTATTGTATTTCACCAACAGTTAACTAGCAGCAAATATGAACTGAAGTTTTACTCATATTGATCTTGCTCATAAAGCATTTATTCAGACCTTCGGTTTATTTCGGAGCTGGGCCCAGTTAGGAGAAAGGGCTCCAGCAACAGTCCCTTGCTGAGGGCAAAGGTGCTGCTAAACTTTGCTGAGATTTCTTCCCTAGCTCATCTTCTCTTCTTTCATCAGGTTAAGAAGATCTAAGTAGGCCCAGCTCTTGTTCCCCCTCTAAAAAACAAAGGTTTTAATACAGAAAAACAAATGTGTTTGTTCAGAGAGCAAAAGCAGCAGCACACGATCTGTCTTACATATTCAGAACTTTAGGACCACCCCATACTTTTAGATCTGGTTTAGTTTCCATGTTGGTTTTGGTGTTCTCATCTCTGAATCCTTCGGTGCAGATGCTTCGATCAAGACTGCTGACGTGAAAACCCCAGAGCACCAAACCTCTGTAACAGAAATGCTGACAACTTTATTTGAAAGTAGCATTGGTGGGTGCTGGAAGACTGATGGCATACTCAGGGCCTGCGCTGCAAAGGGACCTCCAGAACGTAGCATTTTCATAATGGACAGTGAGGTCATGATACAAATATCCCAGCATTTATCTGGGAACTAACGAAACCCACATCGATCCGTCAGTCAGGATCCCTTCTGGATGCCACTGAATCTTGCTGTAGCAACAACCCTGATTTGGCACAGAAAAGACACCTGAGAACAAAGCAAATCCAAGTCACATGGATTAACTCACACAGCTCAACTCTGCACTCTTTTAAAAGTCCCTGCAGATTCTGGAGCCCTTAATATGTTACAGCCATGCTTAATGCCGGAGAAAAATACCACACCTCGGTCTGTATCTGAGCGTCAGCTCAATGTCAAGATGTATTGTGAGAAGAGAAGTAAGTTTAACTTCCTCCTACTGTGCACACACCCCCACACCTGCCTATGGAACAATGTCTAATTGGTTAATAAAGGACAGGCAGTATTTAAATTATGATATCAGATGCTTCAGCCTGCAGAAGCAATCTCTTTCATTAAGGCTGCTCTAATATTCCTTAATTTTATTCAGTATTATGGGCTCATTTACAAAACAGACATTATGGTTATTGAAATTACAATTCTGTAGAAGAAAGAATTCACCGACACGTTTAATTTTTACCCATCTCCACATCACTCATATCAGCCTAATCTTCACCTGCTCATACCCACCCTTTTCAAGCGGCTTCTGAAAAATTCCCTCCAACTGCTACAAAGATACTCAAGCCTTGATCCTACAAGCACCCATGAGCACCCTGAAAATGTAGCTTCTTGAAAAACAGAGAGAGCTTTTTAGAATTGTGAAGAACCTTCTCAATAGGAAATCCAGTGCAATGTGCAACTGTCATTTCTCCCCTTATTCGCCACATTGTTTTGACTGCGAAGAAAGAAACAAGTTGGAGAAGAGTGAATTAGCAGAGCTGTGACTATTGCCTGTGACATCCCTTATGTACGACTTCCTAAAAACTTCTCATGATCAACTCCTGTCTATCAGAGAAGATCCTCCCAGCTCAAGAGCGTGTCCTTCCTTTCAAGCCATAAACAACTGGGACAGAGACCCCTTGTCCCTCCTCAGCCTTAGCACCTCATCCAAGCGTCTCAGCCCATTGCGACGTTCTGCATAAGCAAGTACAGATTTCAGACAGAACGGTCCTGAGGAAAGAGACTTGTGGTGGTTGAATGCAACCCACACAGGACACTGGGACACACAAATGAGGGTTTTCACCCTCTAAGCAGCACCAGGGCTTCCCACAACCCTGGTGAGCGGCTAGAAAGACATCAGTTTAGATTTGCTTCTGATTTTCTCTTAGAGAACCTAAATGAAAACTTCTTTGTTGAGAGAAACCTCAGAAGTTTTACATTTATTTTGAATCAGAAGCATTTTCCTCTCCATTTTTTAAATTCAGCTCTCAAACCAAAAGACTCAGTTATGCAAGCAACCCCAAGCCCAGTCTTGCACACTGATAGACACAGTCACCTCTTCACTTCCATGGCACTGAGTTCTCCTCTGCACTACCAGTCTCCATTCATTCAGTCTACAAAAGAAGGCATTTGCAACAGAAACTGGTAATGTTTCTAGAAAATAAAATCGTATTTTAGAATTACTGCTCTCATTTGCGACCTCTTAATTCTCACAAAGGAGGTGATCCTGAGTAATGACTAAAATGCAAACATCTGCTTACCACCCTCAAAAAAAATGGATAAATAATGCTGAAATTACACAGTTAATGGTGCGGGTAGTGTACCACAGAACTGTGATTGTATTTCTAAACAGTGTATCTAGCCCAAATTAAATTAAATTAAAATAAATCACAGTTGTCATTTCCTCAGCTATTTAAAGCCACCTATGATTTCATAAACAGTAATGGCAAGAATACATTACCAAATTTTTGGAAGAAAAAATTAATTCAATATAGGAAGAAATATAGTCTTTAATGTGACCACAGAACTGTGATTGTATTTCTAAACAGTGTATCTAGCCCAAATTAAATTAAATTAAAATAAATCACGGCAAGAATACATGACCAAATTTTTGGAAGAAAACATTCAGTAAAGGAAGAAATACAGTATTTAATGTGCAACCAATATATATAATATATACATACACCTGACAGAAACCTGAAAAGGGTAAAAATATCTGTAATTATATCAGAAAATTCCACACACGGCAGAAAACCTGCATAACTGACAAGGAGGACATTATTGCTGTGTAGTGCATTCCAAGCAGCGAGCCAAATGGTTGTTATCTGAAAATGAGGAGAACGCAGGAATTATTTAAGAACTTGACCATTTGTTACCAGGACTAATTTGTCATGTAAATGAGTGAAAGGTTTTGAAATTTCTCAGGAAAAAAGTATATCCTAGAACTTGACCCAAGATCAACTCTTCATTGTTCACATAGGATTCACATTAAAATGCCCACAGCATTAGACAACTGACTTGGTTATCGCAGCAGAGTCTTATGAAGAACGCATACCCTTGAAAGATGTAAATCACCATCTTCCCACAACACTTCAAAATCACAAAGTTCACATGGCAACAAACCTGTGTCAGGGCAGCTAATAACAGAATAATAAACTTCAAAGGCTGCAACACACACTTGATAGTGAGTTTGGCAGATGCACCCGATATTTAAACAGGACGTCGGTCCCCAGCACAGAGCATCATGCACCACTGCACAATTCTTGATTTTAGGAGCATTCTTCAGGACGGAGGCAGCTGAGACAAGGCAGCAAGACTGAGCAGAGATGGCAAGAGAGCAAATTCTGCGCTCTGAGCAGTGCTGTTAGTCTGCTGAAAATATTTGATACTAAATCCATCAAACGTGTATAATTTCATGATGGAACAGCAGACAAGGACGAAGCAAGCTTCATTCTCTGAAATTAAACAGTTTAAAACCGAAACGTACAAACTGTCTGTAAACTCCTTTCAGTTCAAAACTGGATCATTTAAGGGATATTTATTCACTCATTCTTAAAAAGTCCTCCTTTTCTATCTTCTCATTTTAGGCACAGAGCTGACATCAACATCCACATGACAGAAATCACGAGTTCCAGCACATGCTTAATTTAAGGCTCATCCAACAGTTCCAAAATACTTCTGAGACATGCATTTCAGTGCCTCACCAAATGAGGTCTGCTTCATTTTATGACAAATCGTAACTCTACATCAAAATAAACATTTCTTCAGGACCAGACAGAACTGTAACTCCCCATGGCCTAACCCCATCAGAATAATTCAAACGGTGTCTAACTCTTGAGTAACTCGGAGGATTTGGAAAAGAGAGTTATTTAATCAAAATACTTCGTGATTTAACAAATATCCAGTTCTGAAGGTTTATGGCAAACTGACAATTTGCTAATGCTTTAAAAAAAGTAACTAAGTGAAAGCAAATTCTTAATTATAGCTTTTGGAAGAGGTAACTATAATTACTATGGAAACTAACTGAGACAAAGCATTATGTGACATATATAATTATGAGAATAAAAATAAGTAATGTATATTATATATTAAGAATATCTCAATCCTAAGAGCTAAATTTAAATATTTTTAATAAAGACAACATTCTGAGTTAGATGTTAACGCAATACCCACCTTAGAACACACGTGTAGAAACCACTGTCTTGCAACTCAACCGAGTGAAACCATATTGAATCTTCATCCTTGCTCATCCTAACTTCAGAAAATATAATGGGTTCTTCTAAATCTCCTTTGTTTTTGTACCACATAAGCCTAAGACCTGTGCTTTGGGCCATGCTATAATTAGTTCTGATATAGCTGTAGAAAAGGGCACATTTCACTCGGACTGGTTCACCTGCCAAAGCCATGTATGTCTTGAGATCCACTGACCAGTCAATGCAACCATCAACTGAAAGCAAAACAATAATAAAGAAATATTAGACACATGTTTTTCAAGATAGTGAAAGGCAGCTTGTGAAATGCAATGCAATTAATTAAAAGAACATAACCCTTGGCTTACAGCAACGTGAAATAAACCAGAGCATCTACTGGCAATCAGAGGGTTTTTACACACCTTTTCACTTACGTGTAAATGCAAATGTGCAGGCAATAAATAAAGCACTCTGGGCCGGCTCAGTTCCATCTCTTTAGAATATCATTGCTTTCACCCCCAGAACACTAATTCTTTCATAAATGAACCAAGTGTTTTCACCTTATCTACTTCCCCCTGTAAACCACTCTTGAATCCTCCAGTTCCTTGTTGGCGGAAAGCGGAAAATGTACATTGGCATCTGATCCCAGCCTTATCCCTGAAAACTTTTCCATTCACCTCTGATCATTAAAAAAACCCCAAAAACCAACCAAAGAACAGATCTGACATTTATATTTTTCTTCTCAAGGCAGTTCCACATAGCTTTCTTTTTCCTGCAGCCTACTCAAGCTGTAGAGATGCGTATTATACACAGCAGGATGCAATTACAACACGCTACCTATGCAATCAAGCTTCATACAGGAATTGTACCAATATGAAAAGGGATCTTTTGCTGTTCTGTTCAGCAAAAACTTTTGAAGCAGTTTTCTTGATACTTCACTTTAAAATTAATGTGGCAGCCAGTTTAATAAAAGATTACTCCTCCCGTTATTTAAAATCATCTTAGTTACAATACAACCCTAGAACACACATCCAGCTCAACGTGTAACTCTCACATATCAGAGACCTTTTAATTTAATCTTTTTTATTGCTGGAAAAACCGTAAGCCTTAAAAGTCAACCAAGAATATAACCAAAGAAACCCACAAAGGCAGACAACAATAGGCAAATACACTACGTAAAATTAATAGAGTTAATGAAATGTGTAGTTTACAGAAGTTACTGATCACACCCAGCCACGTGTAAGTGGAACATCTTTACCCTTGACGTAGCTACCTCAAATTCAACCAAGTAGGGTTCGAGCTGCCTCTTCTGCATTTGCAGTATCAATTCTCAAACTCTAGTGGTCGATATTCTCGTACACTCTTCATGGCATATACATCTTCAACAGCCTCCACCCATCATGTGATTTTGCTCTACTTTAAACCTGTTGACACTGACCACATTCACACATTTCCCATACGTAAACTTCCATGCAATATCTTGTTGTAAAGCAAACTTTGCTTGTAAAACAAACCAGCACGGTCTCAAGACAGAAATGCTCTACATTTAACGTATCTACTGTCATGAACGTTCTGACAGGCGAAGTGAGATCGTACAATGCCTGCACCCGAAGCAGTGTGGGTCAGGCTGCCTCCTCCTGCCAGCACCCACAGGTAGATGCTAACGCAGGGGCTGGTTGTGCCAAGTGTCTTCTTTCCCCAACAAAAAAAGCCCCAGTACCAAGACATTCACCTGAAGTTAGGCGCACAGTTTTGGTTCACTTCAATTTTCATTTCCATACTCATTTTGCTGAAAGCCTCCTGCTGATTTAAATTAGAATTCATTGCTTCTTGTTTTTAACAGCTACTGTTAATGACATCAAATGGAAGGCCGGTAGCCGTTTCCTGACTTTCTTGTTCTTCACTGCTGCAGCATCACTGCTTCCTCCGTGTTCTCCCTCTCACAGATCAGTGCCACACAGAACAGGACAAGTTTGCACAGTTGTTACAAAAATCCCGTACTGAAGTATGTGTTCTCAGAGCATCCCCTCCGGGCCTGTACCATCCTTCACCAAAGCCGCGTGCTGTACCTCAAACACTCCCTTGCCAGGACCCCATGGAACTGCACTCACCTCTCCTGGGACGGTGTCACACAGACACGACAACCAGCTGCAGAGCTGGAAAAGGAACCCAAGTCTTCCAGCCCTACAAACCCAGCCAATCGATTTTTACATTAAAGCCTGGTTCTTGACATCATAAATTATTTTATATAGGTGGCTTTAAGGACTTTTACATTGAGCAGGCATCAATGTACTCCATACAGAGCTTCCTCACAAAAGCTCTCTGCCTTTTTTTTTAAGTCCTGCTCTTCAGGCTGGTGTGGGTTTACGATTAAAGAGCAGTGCAGAGCTTACAGCTGTGAGGGATGTGAAAGGCAACCCTGAGCTCCCCACATGGCTCATCCCTGTTCTCCAGGTATTCTCAAAGGCAGCCTTCCTCCTCTGCTTTAGCAAAGCCACAAAAGTCTACGTAGGGGCATAAGCTGAAATGAATAGGGGTGCCCAGAACGGAAATGTAGATCCAATAGAATTCAGCCGCTCTAATTAATTCTGTCAATCTTCTGTCAGGCTAATCCTGTCATGTCATCTAATGCTTCTGCACCAGTGCTGGTTCAGCAAAGTTAAACCACAGTAAAGGGTAACTGACACTCAAACGCACATGGAAAGTTTGTGGGTCAAACAGAAAGGTGCCAGTTTTTCAGCTATGTCACAGAGCAGAGTCACAATTAGGAAGAGTTACGAGGTTATGCACAGGAAAAAGGAAAAATTGGGAAATCCAGCTTTGGAATCTGAAAATGCCTCTGCTTCCAGTAAAATTTCTCCCACATCTACACCAAACAACTTCTCAATGCGCAGCTCACACGAATACTCAGCATCCTTAAGTGCCATTCAATCTGACTCATCTTCCACTTTCATTTGAACATCTGTTCTCCGTTCTAGTGAGCACTTCTCTACTATTCTATTTTCAAAATTACGACTGCTGGAGTACATAAAGCACAGTGGAAAAGACGAAAGACATTGGGATGGTAACGTACAGCCTGATCATTAAAGTGGCTAAACCCCATCTCCAGTGGAGAGTGAGACCGGGGCCGGCACAGCACTGGCCACCGCCAGCACTCCAGTGGAGGCACTGGGCACGGTGACCTGGCCCCAGCCCAGCACCTGCACCTCAAAAGAAAAGAAAGATACGGAGATTCACATAGGAAACCCTTTTCCCATTCACAGTGTCCAAATGGAAGAATTTCAGCAGCAAGGCTGACCCCACCGCAGCAAGCGCAGGGTTGAGGGAAGGTGGCAGCGGGCACTGCCCGGCCTGCGCCTCCTGCTCCCTGCAGCACGCCAGGACCTGGCAGTTCCGGGGAGGAGAGCACACAGGGAGCGGAGCAACCGTTCACTATGGGGTTGATGACATCTGCGAAGGGGAGAAGTCTCACGGAGCGCCTCAACTAAATCTTAATTACTGAAGAAAGACTAATCAAACAGGGGAGGACGTTTTCCCCTTGCTCTCTTTTTGGCCTTGTTAAATGCACAGTCAAGAATGATTCCCTTCTGAAGCTTTAGTGGCTAAAATCTGGGTCAGGCTCCCGCGCTCACATGGAAGCTGGAATTTCTCCCCTCACCACGCTGCCAGTCACTGCAGTGAGCAGTGTCAGACTCGTGTGGAGTATTCTCCAAGCTGTCATTACAAATGACTGGAGCCACTGAGGTGGAGTTTAGCGCTCCATTATCCAGAGCAGAGTTTGCTGTCATTTTTGTTGGGCTGGTTCTCAATACATAATGTGATCAGGGGGAAAAAACAATCAGAAGAGAAGAATAACGGCATTAGAGAGAGGCACTAATTATACAATAAATGTGCATACATCTTTTCTCTGCTACTCAACAATCCGCTGATCCTTAACATGTGCCTGATTGAAAGCCTATTCAAATTAAATCCTATCTATTGTGGGTGTATTTTAGACACTTTCAATGATGACAACTATTTGAAATATTTTCTAAAATTTGGAGCACTGAGAGGATATGGAAAACATTGTCCCACTTTTAGTCCAGCTTCCTAAGGAAAAGAGGTTTGACCATCAATCTGTCAGCTTCCCCACCTCGTCAGTGGGGAACTAAACTAAGTTCCACCAACTAAATTCAATCCTATTTCACACACCACGGCAGTGCTCAGGTACACGAGAGCCCTCCATGTGCACAGGAGAGCCTCGATGTGTTCTCTGCTGGCAGGCAAATGCAGCAGCAGTTCATGATGGCAGGGCCCATCGGGCCCACCCCAGTTACCTGTCGAGGCTAATGCAATCCGAGGAGATGCTGAATTGAATATGAAAGTTTCAAAATTATTAAGCAAATAACAGATTAAGCTCAATGACAACAAGTTAGCAATCACCCAAAGTGCACACTCCACTTCCTTTCCCAGCATTTCCTGGTAATTTCCTGTTATTTTAAATAAATCTAGTTGTCTAGGGAGTCTAGATGCATTTTAACACGAACCATAATAATTTATGAGCAATTATAGAGGAGCATGTACATAGTCTCTGAGTAATTTGTCTTTCTGCTTGCTGTCATACAAATAATTCTTTGCACTGCGAATCTGCCTGTAATAACTTTTGTAGGGACCTGTCACCTACAGCAATTTATATCATGGCATTGTAAACTTGTCTGCCTACCTTGTTACCTGAAAATCTCATTTTAAATTGAAATCATACACGAATAAATAATTAAAACATAAGATACCAGCTAATGTATTAAATTTATGGCTCCACAAAGCAAGCAATGTTTGTGACTGTAAATACATAGTCAGAAAAAACCCGAAACATTCCTCTGACACAGGAGTTACATTTTTATTTCTATATTAGCCATAGAACAGCAGAGTCAGGAACCGACATCCATCATGCTCAGGGTTTGCAGACACATAACCACGATAGATGCCTTTCACTAAGGAAGTCCAAAAAGGGATGCAAATTTTTTCGACTCTTGAAGGGGAGAAATCAGTAACAGCCCATGAGTTTTAGACAACTTGCTATTTTTAGATCTTGATTCTGGAGAAGAAGGAACACACCCTGCCCACGAGCAGACAAAGCGATGCCTTTAATAGCTCTGGCTGGACGAGATCTTAACAAAGGGTCAGGGAGCCAGACCAGGCTTTCCATACCTGACTGGTTTCACATCTCTGGCTTCCCAGCTGTGCTCTGCTAATTCTGCTGTGGTGCTCGCAGACTCCC